AGAAGAGTAGAAGTTACTTCATATATTCATGTTTATGTGCTGTCCAGAAAAAACACTTAAATACTACTGGTAAAAAAAATTAGCATTTATTTTTTTGTACAATAATATATAATGAGTATTGTTTATTTAGTAAATTCTAGTAGTTTAGAGATTTTGACATTTTTTTGTAAAATTTAAAAAGAATAATTAAATAAATGTTACTACACCCAAAAATCCTTTTTTTTCAGTGTGACTTTCAGTTCAATCCTGGAAATAAATACTTTCTTTCCTTGTATTTTGGACCATTGGTTATATAAACACAGACGACTGAACGAAGAGCTTTCAGACAAACTGAGAATAAATAATAAAATAAACAGAAGTAACCGACAGATGGAAGGAGATRGTGTGAAACAGACAAGAAGCTCTGCTGCTTTTTCTGCAGGCGTCTGTTAGGAGAGGAGAGGAAGATGAGGGGAAATAGAGTGTTTATGAAAAACTCACTCTTTCATAGAACTCTCCCTTGATGAGGCTGGCTGCGATGCGCCCGACGGTCTCGGTGCTGCTGCTGAGTTCTGGACGGCTGAGGGCCAAGCGGGCAGCTTTGGCCGGGAGGCCGGCCTTCAGGTAGAGGTTTACGGCCCCCTGGAAATCCCCCTGGTTCTCCTTCACCTCGCCGGCCTTCTCGTCCTGACCCGTCTCCATCAGCCACTGGTAATAGTTTCCACGCAGGCTGTTCAGCTCCGGGTGACCCTGCAGCCGTTTGGATACAAAGAGCAGGCTTATCAAGAGAGAAATCTCTTTGTAGAACTGGATCAAAAATAAACCACACATCCAGGCATCCCTTCTCTTTAAGAGGTTTTTCTTTCTTTCCACCTTTAATCTGTCTCACATGTCAATCACCTCAGAAAGTTTGACTTCTGACAAACTTCATTTCCAGCAGAGTTGTAAAATATTCTAAAGTTATCTGCACTTTAGTAATTATTTTTCAACCTACTTTTTTCTTTTACTCCTTATATTTTTACACAATTATCTGTACTTTCTGCTCTTCACGTTTTAAAAAGGTAAAAGGTAGAAAGTCATTACTTATATTTTATTCAGACTTGTTGTTAAAAAAACTATCCTGATAGAGTGAATTTAATTGTGATTGGATGAGAAGTATGAATATATAACATTATGACATCACATTACTTTGTACACAATCCATCACAGCTGCACGCCTTTAAAAAATGATTTTTGTTGATGTCTCCTCCCAATCGTTCATTTTTACTCACAACTTTTATTACTTAAGAACATTTTATGTCAGAAATTTACTTTTGATACTTAAGTACAAAAATTATCAGATACTTCAAGACTTTTACTCAAGTATTATCCTTAGAAGGAGACTAACTTTTAC